AGAGTGACTGACAACTGAAGATCAGAAGCTGCAGATACTACCGACAGACAAGATGTTTAATTTCAGATTTTCATTTTACCTGCCTAGCTTACCTACTCTGATAACACATTTAGTTTTTTCCCCTTATCCCATCTCTTTAGATTTACATGGAAAACATTTGATTTTTATTTAAAGATCACCCATTTAGTTAAATCAGACATCTACAAATGTAAAAAGGTCAAAATATATATATATGTGTGTGTGTATGTGTGTGTGTGTGTGTGTGTCTACATTTGCTGAACTATATAATAAATAAAAGGTTAAACAAAGTCCTAATTATTTCTGGCAAAGTCAGCTTGTTTACATTTCTCCTCATCTGTTTCCCAGGTAACGCCAATGCTTAGCCAATGATCAGATGTTGAACTGACATGACCCATCAGCGACACCTAAACAGCGACTGTGCTTTATGTTTTCATGATTCATCTGAAAAAGATGAAAACGTGCTTCATATTTTCACTTGTTAGCATTGATTGAGAGGCAGCTGTGTTTTAAAAGATGACTTTTACAGCTCTTTCTACAGTTTGTCTTACATTTATGTTTCCACTCACTCTAAAGACAGAAATGTGAAACTGAAAGAGGATATGAGGTTTGATCTACATGTCTTTGCTAATTGCAGGTAATATTCCAAATTGCAAAATTAGTTAGAACAAAACCGATTACATGATTTCAATCACTAACACATTTATTTTGACCATTAAACAGATCTAAGCTTCAGCCTTTTAAACTCTTTATTTTGTCTGAAGCAGGAAATCAAAGCAGTGCGTCAGCTTTACCTGATTACATTCTGGGGTCTTAATCGTGCTAGAGTCTGCTAGTTGATATTTTCATTGAGACTACATAATACAGTGTGATTGTACATCAGCTCCAGCGCTCCAGAAACTGGCAGATAAAGTTGAATTGTTTAACAATGTGATCACACCACAGCTGCCAGCAGTTTTTAGACTTAATGAGATGTTTAATATCACAAATAAAGTGCTGTTTATCCTATCAATGGAGATCTATCACACCATCAACTACTCATCATTGTCAGTATATTTGCCAAAATGTTGAGCTACGGTAAGTAGCTCTGAAAAAACAAAACAAAAAAAGCCCCAAGAGCTAAAAAGCCCAACGTTCTTGGGTGAGATATCTGTGTACATTTTGTGTGTCTTCCTCTTGGTTGCATGGCACAGTCTAATTACAATTTATATGTGTATTCTGAAAGCCTTGTTCAAGCTACAGTAAAGCTGATAAACAACATCAGTCACACAGGGGATTAGTTACACACCGTGCGCCCATCCCACTGCTTCTCTGCCTAATTCCAGCTCCAATCATTTGCATGCTGTGGAGTGTATGGAACTTACTGGACATCTTTGGTATGCGGATGGGACCGCTGCTGGTGCCATCGCCCCCTTCGGTCAGAGCTTTGATCTCAATGAGGTAGTCCTCTCCAGAGGGGATTTGCAGTTCCAAACTGGTCTTATTGGTTTCCAGTACAGTGGTCCTCTCATGCCAGTTCTGGCGATACACAACCTGGAGGACAAAATGCAATTCTTTAGTCTCTTCTTTGCCTCTTACCTGTAATTATTTTTATTTAATTTAATAACTGTACAGTACTCTCTGTTTGTAGTAACCGTTGTCCTTAATGTAAATATGTAAGAAAAATTGTGTATGTTTCTGTTCCGTGTCCTGTGTACTGTTTGTTTGTATATTTGTCTTTTTGGCTGCTGTTACAACCAAATTTCCCCCTTGTGGGACAATTAAAGGATTATTCTATTCTATTCTATTCTATTCTATAACAGTGAGATATTAAACCTTTTTTACTCCTCAACAGAAAAATTTGTAACTTCATTCAACGTATCAAACTAGTGTGTAAAAAAACACATTGCAAATCCAAGAGCGGGGCACGATACTGTTGCTTCATCTTGGTTATACAATCCTATCTGTAGGAGGTAATGAATTCAAAATGCCACACGGCATGACAGGGATGATTTGGCTCGATGACTCAGGGACTTGAGAACAGCACCTCAGACGTCATTTTTGCACATTTACTTGTGTAGCTTCACCATCATTAAAACGCAGCAGAAAGTTTTATTTAGTCCTCCGAAAGAAACACAGTGTAGAGAGCCAAACTGCAAATTTAGTTAAAAAAAGAAAAACATGCAAGAAATATTGACAGTATTGTCTTTGTGAAACCTTTACTCGAGTCGTGTCTGCAAAAGAGCCGGCTAAAGACTAATGTACTATGTATGTGCAGCGGGTAAAATAAGTATT